ATGTTTGTTAATTAAAGTACAGACTAAAATTTAAAAACAAAAAAAATATCAGAAAAAAAGAGTATTAGCCATTTGAGACGTTTACACTTGTCAAAAAAGAGTGCCTGCTGTTCTGCTTTTATGTAAATAAAATATATAGCTATAAGTTATTAATTAAATGAAACATTTTAATAATTAACTTACGAGTTATCAATTGTTTTTAATGATGATAGGGGTTTTAATATTTATTTATTTAATATGCCTATCATTAATACCTTGTGATGATTATCTAGAAATTTTAATTGCATAAGTTTATTAGTATATTACTATTATCTTTTAACTTTATTTTTTATCTTTGTTTTCAATACTACATTGTCAATTTGGTATCAGGGATAACAAATTTATATAACAAGATATGGAAGTTTTGTTTACGTAATCAATAATAATAAGGAATGAAGATGCGTAATACGCAACACCAATGACAATTAATTTTTTAATGACATAATTGCAATTTTAAGTGCTGACTTAACACGTGTTCAGCGGTAAAGGTAAAAATTACCCTTACAATTTTTACCTTTTTCCTTAATCCTGCATATTTTCGAAATAATAACAAAAAAGGATATTTCGAAGAAATGTGAATTCCGCCAATCCGCATTGTACGGAGGATGCCTTTGCCCAGCAGTGGGACATATATAGGTTGTAAATTATCTCAACTTTTTTACAACATAGTATACAAATCGCGAGTGATATTTTTCTCTACAGTCTTTGAAGACTTATCAATGACAATGCCCCACAGTCATCGGCGTTAGCACGTTTTCCTGAGCCTATACACGAAAAGACAATTAAAACAAACGCTTGAAACGGACGTTTTATTCGTGTTTTAATTCATTTGTTGTTGTATTCAGAACAGTGCGGTTCCGCTATCAAGTCGGCAGCTAACGCCGACCCGCTTTGAGGGTGCAAGGCACAAAGGCCACCGTTTCCCTGAAAGTTTGCAACCGCACAGGCCCAGATAGGCCGCCCCACCTGTTGGCCGCTAAGCGCCCCTTTGTCCGCCACCTCATAATGCGGCGTTGCAATTGTTGCAGATTAAAAACTTCCAGCATCCGAACACCACGCTCGGAGATTCGCGTATACCGAACAATTGGCACCTCAGCGCCGCCAAGCGGCTACGTGTACTTACTACACCGGATTGGTTCGAAACTTCTACAATGTTTTTTACCGATATCATTTGTTATTTAATTAGGTAGAATCCCAACGAGCGATACGACATTAATTTAATTATTATGTAACAAAAATATTTACAATGTTTTATTGTATACATATAATAAAATGTTTTTTCGAAGGAAAGAATAGATCTTTCGAGGTTATAGTGGGACTTACTACACAATATACAAATACAAAATTATCACTGATATTACAATAAAAGTCTATACTGTTTGATATGATTTAAATGTAAAATATATTGATTTAAAAGTAATAAATTTGAAAAGTAAAAGGAATTTTAAGTCTGGCCCTATACCGTTATATATAAGATGCAAAAGCCATATAAGAAATACTCTATATAATTTAAATCACCAGTAATTGGAGACATAACTTGTCCAACTGCGATTATATTTACATTATAAACTGCTTGCTTACCTGAAACAAAATTAAAGGAATTTATAAAAAATTTGCAACTTAAACTAAAACACTTAAGACTAGTGGTAGGTCTACACTATTTTATTTACATTCTATCTATTTTCCTAGGTGATAGGGGTTACTATAGAACTTAATAGATATGGCAAGACTTCTGTAAACACAACGGTATTATGAATGTATACGGTCAGATGTTAATAATACGCTTCGCTCCTTTACCAAATTCCCTTACACAAAAATTGTGCTGCCAGTGTACATTAAATTCATGCTTAAGACAATCTTTTGCAGAAACAAGTAAAAAAAGCCGGCCAAGCGCGAGTCGGACTCGCTCGGAACGCACGAAGGTTCCGTACCGTTTATGTATAAAAACGACAAAAAAACTCATGTCTGTCATATGGGAGTCCCCTTAAGTATTTTTTTATTTTGTTTTTTAGTATTTGTGTTTATAGTGGCAACAGAAATACATCATCTGTAAAAATTTCAACCGTCTAACTATCACGGTTCATGAGATACAGCCTGGTGACAGACGGATAGACAGACAGACAGACAGCGGAGTCTTAGTCATACGGTCTCCCGTTTTACCTTTTGGGTACGGAACTTTAAACTTAGTAGTTTAACTTAAAGTAAGTAAGCTTAACTTAAATTTAATAATATTTACTAAAAATGGTCGCGCCAACGTACGTGAGGTGTACGTGTTGTATTTGCGAGGTATTTATTATTACGTTGTATTTAATTTACCGTGGTTACAATTTTCTCTACTGCTAACATTCATTATAAAAGACGTTTTTAATTATGCGGCCATTTTTTTTTTTCGCACTGCTTATTCCAATGCAGAAACATTAACAGAAATGCGAGGACATTAAGCGATGAAATATATTCGTTTTTGGACGACGTTCTTAGCCAATTACGTTGATTATAATTTCTTTTTCTCGCGTACCATTTAAAGAAAGTATTTAACGAAGTAAATCGTAGCTGGCTATTATTTCTAATTTGTATTTTCAACTTACTTACTTTCGAAAATCGTCATAATCACCAAGAGTAACTCTATTTCGTAGATGCCTAATTGATTTTTCAAATTCAGATTTTATACAAAATCTTATAAACATCATAATCTACTGCTTATTTTAAATTATAACATTTTTAACAAAAAAAAAAGTTCTATTCTAAATCTTAATAATGATTTCTTGGATTTTACTTATTTTTTCATTAAAATTCCTGATGTTTCGAATATTTCTAGAAAGACTAGTTTGAAAAGTCTTTAATTTTGAGATATAAAACCGAAGAATATTATCACGAATTTGTTATATATAAGAAATGTAGACGCGATTAATGTTTAATCACTATGCTAATAATAACATCTTTCCTTACATGGTCAAGGAAAGCTAAATTTAAATTTTATGTAGCTATATTTAATATTCATTACTTTTTATAACAAAAAGTCTTTAATTAACGGGTGCTTCAAGGGTCGGAAAACCTCCTTAAATTAAAAACAAAACTAATCAACTTTCCACCTTTAAATTGTTTTTATAGAAAAGTAATATTTTATATACAAAAAAGGATTATCTTTACAAAGTTTGTTAAATTAAGATAATGCATGTCGAAACAAAACTTGTTGACCGACAGAAAGTAATCGCGCACCCGCCATCCGCGCGTTCCCTCCAAAAGACGGCTCGAATTTCCGCCGCGGCCTCGCCGGAACTGACGCCATGTTTACAAATCGCGCGGGAAACGTCATCGCGAATTTTAAGCAGCTACATGACGACGGCAGAAAAGGCTTGTTTATGGTATACGATACGAGGGGCGATACCGGCAAAGTATTAATAGTGTTGGGGTTTAAATGGATCCACTAGTTTTGTGTGAATACACACAATATGCAATAAACTTTTTTAACCCTTTTGATGATATGAATAAATATAGTTGAACAGTTAAAGTTTGCTAGTACTCACGTACTTATATTACGTATATACATACTCAAATTTTTACAATTCAAAACTACTAGAAAATCTAATAAAAACTCAATTATAACTTCGTCATGTGATGTTAAAAAATACCACGCACTAGAACGAAAAAGATTTAATTGTCTGATTAATTATAATAAATGTATTACCAGTTTCTAGAAATAACATATTGAGTCATTGTTTTAAGTTTTATTCAGATAATATCAAAATATATTGAGGAAAAATCAAAACCATGTACTTTTTTACCTCCACTATGTGATAAAATCCTGAGTCACATTTAACATATGCATAAAAATTCCATATAAATGTGTGGATTCAGAAAAAAATTAGTTATAGTATCAATAACTTTAATAAATCTCGTTGAGAATTGAAATTGTAACTAACAAGCTATACGATTCCGCCTACCGAACTGCATAAGGTTTAGTTTTAGTTAATATTGTAAACAGATAATAAAATTATCATGAATTATATTAGAATAATAAGCCAATTAAAGCTCTTAATTCTTTAAAAACCAATTGGATCACAATGTTAACTTAACCTTAATTTAAAAATAACCAATTGGATTCGTGCAAAAAATTAACTAACGTTAATAATCTGATCTTAAAGAGGAAGAATTAAGCTTTCTTAAGTTCGCCTTTGTCCAATACAGCAGAGGGGACAAAACAAACCAATTTCCTAATCATCTGTCGTAGAAGCCGTCAATCGGCCATTGTATAAACGGCGTTGAAAAATGAAAGATTATGTGAAAATCACTAATTTATATGCGTCGTCGCGAGATCGCTCCCGTCGGAAGGGAACAGGGCTGCCGCTAAACAGTTTCAACTCTACAAAAATAATTATTTAAAAGCTACTCGTGGTCCACAAGGTGGTCGGCCCTACCACAGTAACAATCAGTTCTCACCGTGCAACAGTCCACGCTGTTGCACGAATGGGCAGCTCCGTTCGGGTAAGTACTACGACCAGTGTACTTCTCCGTTTGGTCTGGTGTGTGAAGTAGCCAAGGCCCATTTTATTATAAGGTGGCAATGCATCTGCAAGCCTACGGATGTTGCAAATGTTATCGGGCGGTGGTTATCTCTTTACTTCAGGTCAACTGCCAGCTCGCTTGTCACCTTCTCACATAAAACAAGACACACCCTGCCTGGTTATGCAAAATGTTAGCTGAAAAAGGACACCATCCCATGTCATATCTTCTCAGACACATTTAACGATCTTTTTGAGCGGAATTTACACGATTGAGACTACAAATTAAATGTCTAATCTTAAATGTCTAATTCTTATCGTTTTCCGATCCCACACCACATGATTATATCGTTCCTCATTGTTCGGCTAATTAAGATACTGTCCTTAAGCTGAAATAGGAAATGTATAGACAAGAAAGTTGCTTTTTCAATTATATAATTTCTCTGTCTACGAGTTTTTCTATTCTCTCTCGAAGGGGAAGAATAGAACACGCAATGAAACAGCAAAATCTTCGTCATACGTAACAACGACAGCACCGGGGCGCACTTTCTGTTTTTTGATTAGTCTACATGCAAAATTACCGTCTGTGCCCTGTCTACGAAGATAGGCAGCATTACGTAGTGCGACTAATAAGTAACCAGCCTCTATCTACCCCGCTTTTTTGAAGATATAAACGGTAATTACGGCGTTATAGCATATTTTAGCCGATAAATTGCATGTTCTGGCAACGCCGTCGCCTTGTTTCCACGTGAGATATCAAGAACCCGTTTCGGGTCGATATCGGGCCGGTAAAGAATGGGAACACTTACCATAGCGTATTTTTAGACGTCACCATATTATGTGCGTGTGTTGCTTTAAAGCATTTGAATGTCTAAGCACCTACACCGAAAGTTATCGAGCGTCGCGGCGATATCTGCATCATGTCACCTATGGACCATTACAAAATCCTTCCTGGGTTCCGTAGCAGTTTTGTTTTGATCGCTTCTGATCGATATCGCAAAAGTTGTCTCCGTGACTGAATCCAATTTCTTGAGCGCGTTGCATTCCTTGCCCTCCGCAACGAAATCTTGTTTCTTGAACATGATAGACAATCTTTTTTAAAAGAACCTGCTTTTCGAAATAACATGTGAAGTGTTTTAAGAACATAATTTTTAAATCATAAAATGGTATTTAAATGTTTTTAGTTTTATTGACATTTTGTCATAAAATGATTAAAAAAATATTTTATGAGCCGTGCTGGCATCAAAAATGTTTAACATGGAATTTGCAGTAATATACACCATAACAATATTTCCAAAAAGCGAGGATCTCTAATGACATGTAGTGTAAATAAGAACGTGTGCACAGACATACATATTTCAGCGTTTATCTATGTTATTTATACTAATGTGTTTTACACAGAAATATATAATATCTTAAAGCGAACAACATCATAAAAAGGCGATACACATCATTAGGTTACGGCGAAACAATTATATGCAAAATTAATTGATAGCAATTGGTGTTTCGTTTCTTTTTATGCTTTGTAATTGTTTTCAATATCTTTTGTTAGGTATTTGAATTAACCAATAGATACTTTATCGTTGCTACTGCGATAGTTTAACAAAATAGAATTATATGTTATTTTTACGTGAAAAGGTGGAATTGGCGGTTCACCTGATGTTAATTGATAACCACCGCATATTGACATTTTCAACACCAGTAGGATTGCAGATGCGTCGCCGATGCAAAGTGACGAGACGAAACGAGAAACTATAATATTTTCTACTTCACGCTGGTCTCCTATGAGGTAGTCGCATCAGCTATTCCATTCCTGAAACTGCAGAAGCTGTACTTGATCCTACGACAATAGGCTTTAAATTAATTGCTATAAGTTTTAAAATACGAATAATGTGAATTACTTTAGAATGATATTGTATCATGAAGAAATCACTGATTTTTACATTGATACTAGCCAACCCGGCAAACGTTGTTTTGCCATATAAATTATTTGTAGGGTAGAAAAAAATGTTTTGGTTGGATCACACTTGGTACCAACATTAAGATGGGATGAAAAATAGATGTTTGTCCGATTCTCCACCCTGGCCGATACGCAAACGAAATTTCACGAAACACCGTGACACGAGAATTTTATATATTAGATGTACGAAAAACTTAAAATGTTTATTTAAAAGTAAATAAAATAACAATGATTTTACTTTAATCACTCATATTTATACCGGTTTATAATTAAAACATATTCTTATTTCGCGATCAGGAAAGCCTCGATTATTCGTTTTACTTATTAATTTGGTCAGAATAATCTTGTAACATTTGCGACAGCCCTGTGAACCTCCCAATTTATTTCTTAATAACATCTTAGGCGTCCGTTGTCGTTGACACGGACGCTAATTTGTTTGTGCAGCAAATCGAACGCCTGCCCTGATGGATGGGGAAGGGTGGATCAGTTGGCGCTATTAATTTATTACTTATTCAGCTTACTTTTAAATTGTAAATTTTTGTAGATAAATGAACAAAAACCTTCGGAACTGGCAGATTCGAACCCGCGTCTTTTGGTTTCGCGCTCAGGCGCTTTTTACCAACTAAGCAGCCGATGATCTCACGACGCGAAAATCTTGACATATATCTTTGTTCGTTCTATTGCATTTATAGCAATGCTTGGCGCGATCTAGTGTGCTTACGCTAAAACACCGCGTTAGACCGAGCGTAGATTAAGCTTTACGGAGTTTTTGAAGTCCAAAAGTTATTGCTTGGAGTCGTCATAAAGCGAACCCTATGCATGTTTGGACTGGTCTGGATTGTATCGGGTTAGATAGCACAGCCATAGCAGCCTATGTAAGAATCGTCAAAAACTGCAATTTCGTATTGAGTTATAATAATACAATCGCCATTCAAACTAAATCGACAGAAGCCAGAGAATATACAGGTGCAAAAAAGACATAACACGCTTGATTTGGAGGGATCCAGAGTGGTTACGCTTTGGGCGGCCCATTACAACATTACGTCAGCCGTCTGTTGCCGTCTTAAAATTCAACATTACACAGCATATTCAAAACAAAAGTCTCAATCGTGACGTCAGAATAAGATCAAGTTATAACCGTATAAAACGATGCACAGACCGCGGCTTGAACGTAGAGGCCCAAGCTGACGCAAGCTGACAAACCTGTCTGCTACGTCACAGAACAAGCATGGCTGTGGAGGAGTGGCCTCGCCACGCCCCGCGTATGCCTCATCGCTTAAATCTGGGCACTCAGCACCGGTCTTTATAACGTTTCGAGAGTCGACACTAACAGGAATATGCATAACGCGCGTGCCCTACGCACCAACCAAATATTTTAGACACACGGACCGATGTAGAAAATCCTACTATAATGTTAAATAAATATAGTCTAGACATTCCTTTATCTCATATTGTGATAATCGATTAGTTCTTATGTGTCCGCCACACTGTTGGAACTATTACTATGCTTGATACCACGCAATTTCTCTAAACCAGGAGTTGATTACTGGCTTCCGATAAAGCTTAAGTCGCGAATCCGAAAGCAATGCTCGCATTTTGTGATACGTGTACATTGGAGTTAGTCACATTATCAAATTGTTAACAATATTAATTTTACACTTAGAAATACACGGCTGATAACCAGCGCTTTCGAAACAACTAGAATATATACTGGATTATATGTTAATTAGCCATTGTAAAATAAGCCAAATAAAACAGAAATAGAATTATTTATAGCGTAGTTTATGCAAAATAAAATTAATAACCGCCGCTGTCAAAACGACTACTATGCTACATGCCCGATTAAATGTTAATTATCGCTAAAGATGATTAACTAGAACAGAAATAGAAAACTGTTTTTCCTTCTTCAAATATTCAAGGAGCTCCAAAAACGACATTGACAACTTGTAAAACTTGTATTGTGGTTTCATTACAAAACAACAGGATGATAATATATGACCGAGTATATTGTATGATTAGTAACAATTAATGGGTACAATTTATTGTCTGTTCCACCAGAGATGTCAAGCAATGTAAGAGGCGATTTATTTTGTTTTCAAATTTCCGGACTTTCGAACAATTTCCGCCGTTCATGGTAGGTACAATTCATTAAATATTTAACCTTTTTATTTAACCATAGGTAACCTTGTATACACATAAATACAATAAATTATTACAAGTATTGGATTAGTTTTAAGTTAACTTTTGTAAGTTCAAAATATATCAGTTTTTTTGGCTTTTACTCATAAAGGAACACATAAGCTCGAAACACTCAACCCTTCTTCTGAGGCCTCCCCCTCTGTAGATATTTAGGGTGACTGATCCAATTATCAGCACTTTAAGAGTTAGTGGTAACTTAAACCTGTTTATCACATTGAAAAATAATTTTTCCCCCCTTATGACGAGTTTTCAAGCTACAATATTCAATCAGTAAGATGATTATGTAAAAAAAATGTTTATCTTTATCCAATTTTTCATTTAAATAGAAAAGAGTAGAAAATTACCATGTCACCATTTACTAGCACCATCACCACTAATTAATAGCATAGGGTTAGCCAATTAATAGCACTGTGATAGTCGTATTGAAATTATATAAAATAATAAAATGTTTATTAGTACCTATAATCTCTTTTATTGACTTTTTAATATAGGTATAGTACCCTAGACATAAAAAATATGTGCTATTAAACTATATGTAAAATATTTTTTATGTCTAGTTTACTAGAATTACATTTATAAACTTAACAAAGTTTAACATCTTTATAGTTGTTGGTATTTAAAAAAAATTGTCAAGACTTAGTTGCATCTCAATGGAAAGTGTCTTATTTAATAATATGTTAGGTAGGTATTACTAGTAGACAGCTAGGTACAACCATTAAGGAACCAAAAATTGGACTTGATAAAGTATAGGAAATCGTTAATAAAGATAATAATATAAAGAAATAGTTCTTGCTCTACATCTTTTTTTTCTTTTTGGGAATCTTTTCCGACGGCAATCTAAAACCCACTTTACTAAAACTCCCTCTTCTTCATTCGACCATATTGTATCAGGGCCTGGTAGTTTCTTAGTCGCGATTGGATAGTTCCTCTAGGTACATTGAAAGTTTTCGAGGCTAGTTTTTTTGGACATACCCTTTTTTACTGCATCTAAGGCAGTTTGGTTTCATGGTAGGTGGGTCTGAAAAAAGGAAAAATGATGAAATGGTAGAAGAACCAAATTATCAGCATGCTTATGATTCAATTATCAGCACTATGCTGACAAATGGCAAATGTAGTTTCAGCGCCATGCTAAGATTTGGATTCCGAAGGTATAAATTACTTTTAAGAAAAAAAAATAATTCTATGCATCAAATAAACACGGTATAAAATTTAAAATATGGAATAAGCGATTACGTACTATTTTCCATTTATCAGCACCAGTGCTGATAATTTGGAATTCGCAAAATATTAGATCCATATATAAGCACCACATTTTTAACAATATGTTACCGTAACCCCAATTTTTCTATTCAAATTATCTTCATAAGCTATCTAGGAAATCAGAGAAATCAAAAGTTTCAGTATAAAATATTTAAAAGATATATAATATAAAATAAAAAGATATATAATATATAATATAAAATGTAAAAACGTGAACTTACCTTTGATCACTAAGAACAGACAAAAACTTTATGAACTGCAGGACACAAAAGTTTGTTTACAAAATTTTCACCATTTTTAAATCGCAAAGTATGGAATTGCTTGGAGTAGGATTCCAAAAACATCAATTCATTTATTTTTTAAAGTGGTAATACAAATTAGTTAATGATAACCTTATAATTATTTACTATTTATTCGGAGTGTTGATTATTTGGTGCAGTGTCTAGCATTTGGATCAGTCACTATATTTGTTTATTAAACTTTTACAGAAATCTTATGTACACGTGCTTTGTATGCCTAAGACATTCTGTAGCAGTCTACCTACTTATTGATTCAGACGCTGTTAAAGTGAATTGTACTGTACCTACTTATTTTAAGTAACAAAGCCAAGATCTAAAAATAAACTACGACAATTATAGCAAAACGTATAATAACACATAAAAAAGTATTATATCCAATACTATTATTACAACACATGCAATCATGTGTACATATACTGTACATATGCATAGATGTAGACGTAATGCATAGACATGAATTTTATGTGAAATAATATTATAAAATAAGATTTTTTTTATGTGAAAAGTTGCCAAACGAGCAGATGGTTCACCTGATCTTAAGTAAATACCGACGCCCATGGACATCTGCTACACCCGAGGGTTCCATATGTGTTGACAACCTTTTGAAAATTGGACTCAAGCCACCTCACTCACCAGACGAAACGCGTATTATACTCCCACTTTACGCCGGCCTTCTGTGAGGTCGTGGTACTTACCCGGACTAGCCTGCCAATTCGTGCAACAGGTGAGGCTGCTGCGTGGCCCTATCACCATAATATAATAAATGAATTACAACATAAAAAAACGAGTAACTAATGTTGCGATAGATCTGTTGAGCCATCTAAAAATATTTAAAAATAATTTCCGTACATTGATCAAAGGCGCATAACAGTTGGTAGTACTCCTGATTTCAAAAGGTTCATCCTTAAAAAGAATAGATTGGACAGATTTCGAATGCAGTTATGAAAAGAGTGAGGACGATCATAACAGATTTTTTTTTATGTGAGAAAGTAGCAACCGAGCTGGCGGCTCACCTGATGTTAAGCGATAACCGCCTGCCCATGGGCCTGCAGATGCGTTGCCTCCTCTTTATAATGTGGGGCCCGGCCACCTCACTCACCAGACGAAACGCAGAAGTGCAACACTTCAACTTTACGCCGGTCTTCTGCGAGGTCGTGGTACTAACCCGGACGGACCTGCCCATTCGTGCAACAGCGAACGCTGCTGCGTGGCCCTACCGCTGTTGATATTTTGCCCGATACCGATTTTGTCGATCAAAGAAAAGTCAGGACCGCAAGAGCGTTAATTGACGGCCTTCTTTGTCTCATAACTGGACCATGTGAGATTAGTGATAGGCTACGAACAGGCAGGCTCGTCCAGGTAAGTACCGTGGCATCACGGCTAGCGTGAAGGGGTGATAACCATGATAACCTATTGGTCGACAACGTGTCATTAAGTCCGAAAAACCTCGTCATTGTAGACGTCTCCGAGCGGTAATTACTTAAAACCAAACACGAACGAGGTAATTTGTCGTAGTTTACGACTTGCCCACCTCGATAGAACTAAATAAATAATGGTTTCTGAGGTACTGTAATACGGCCTCGCATAAACAGAATCCAATCGGCGCACATTCCAACAAACAAGCCACTTCTATTTATAAAAACTGATAAAACAAGGAAAAACAAAGGGCCACCATCGATACCGTTGTTGGAGGTCAATTAGAGGTATCTAGAAACCCGTGTGTTGAAATATAGCGGATAATTATGAATTAATAACAATACTACTCGTATCTTTGATTTCGCAACCACTCCATTCTTCCTCGATGGCGTAGCTTAATTAGGAGACGATTTATTATCGACGAGTATGGTGCGTAAGGGACGGAGAGTTGGACCGCATTTTTAGGGTTCCGTAACCAAAGGGTAAAACGCGACCCTACTGTCTGTTCGTCAGTCACGAGGCTGTATCTCATCAACCGTGATAGTTAGCCTGTTGAAATTTTCACAGATTATCTATTTCTGCTGCCGCTATAACAACAAATACTAAAAACAAAATAAAAAATATTTAAGTGGGGCTCCTAAACAAGAGACATGATTTTTATGCCAATTTTAGTGATAAAGGAACGGAACCCTTTGTGCGCAAGTCTGACTCGCACTTGACCGGTTTTTATCTATAAGTGACCATGTATAGCATAAGTCAAAATGGCACAAACTTCTATCAGTCCGTTTAGGATCTCCAAAAAATTTACCACACTGTAAATGAGGCAAATATATATTAATAATTATTCTTAATGAACGTAAACTACAATTAATGTTTAGTAGAAAATTTTCAGATTACATATAGACTGTATCATGCACTGCAAGTATTATTACGATTCACCTAACTAAACCAACAAATTCAAACTATAATTAATTAAACATAATCAATAAATATAATAATTAATAAAATTAAAAATATTGCGACACTACAAACGTTTGTGAAAAGCATCACTTTTACAAAGTGTTGCAAAAAAGTTTATTATAATTTTTGTACAAATTTACCAACAATAGTTAAAGAAACATTAGTGGGACGGGCGTCTCAACAAACAACATTATTTACGCATAATATGAGCATTTTAGCTGGGGTAGTGCCACGCAGCAGTCTTTGCTGTTGCACGACTGGGCAGTTTCGTCTAGGTAAGCATCACGATCTGACAGAAGATCGGCGTGGAGTTGAAGAGTTATACTTTTGCGCTTCGTCTGCTGAGTAAAGTAGTCGGGGTTCACCTTACTAAAAGTTGGCAGCGCATCGCAACCCTACGGGTGATGCAAATGTCTATGGGCGGCGGTTATCACTTAACATCGGATGAAACGAGCTCGCTTTCTACCTTCTCACGTAAAAAATATCCATCACAAGTAAGACAATATATGTAGATTAAATATTTAAACAAAAGTTATTGTATCCAAAACGAACATATCAGCGTTATCAAAACTGAGTCCAATCGATAGGATCATCTAAAACGTACTACGAGGTCGCGGGAACGCGAGTCAATCAACTTGACGTAGGTCGCTGAACAAAACTCAATCAAAGTCCGCTTTCGCGCTCGCGCCGGGCGATCGGAATACGCCAGCGCACAGGCCGCGCATCGACAACGCTCGCGCTGATGTATCGCACTCGTTATTTAGTTAGCGGATCACCCCATTGTTACTTAGAGACCACGAAAAAAGCATGGGCGGGGCCGCTATCGGCTCTTGCATCTCTCCCGATGAAACAAGCTGCCTATCTAGATACATGCCTCCAACGCGAGGGCGCCGCGGCGTCCGACAATGGACCCTCGGCCGTCGGCGGCAGGGTACGGTTTCCGCTGGCGGGCGCGGTCGGAGCTTATTAAAGAAAATTAAATTTGCGGCCACGCGAAATCGACACGAATCCGTGAAAGCAGACGTTGTGCGCTAGCATTTGCAATATTGGCCCTTAAGGTGGAGGCTCGTGTTGCAATTGCAGGCTAAAATCGTGTGAGGCTCGCGGTCGAGTTTCGAGAGCGTCGGGACGACTCCGAAGGCACTAACTCCGTTCTTTGGTGCGATTATTGAATGTTTATATAGAGTAGGATATATAAAGAGCGGATTATAGATAAGGGGGCGAGCGTATTTTCATTTTATTACCAAATTACCGATGGCGAGATTGGGGCCCGTGAGGCGATTGCGGCGGCCCGTATCGGGAACATTTGCCAACAGGTAATTGTCTTATTTTGTTCCGTTCGAAATTCCAACACTTGCGGTCGGTTGCGTGAGTCTGGAAACCGTTTCGGTGTATCGCTAAATGAAAATCGCGGCGCTGACGCGATCTTCGTTTTGTTTGCGTTTTTATTTATTTTTTTGGAACGATGACAAAAGTCGCAAACTTAATGCTTGAGATGGTTTTCGTATCATTACCGCATCCCGTAACGTTGAGATCATTCTGACGGCTCTTTTAATTTCTGATGCCATAAACTTTTTATCAAATTTTGACAATGTCATTTATCCTATGAGACTTTTTTCTTTTAAGAACTTTCGTCGTACGCATTTCTCTGCACAAGTAATCATACATGCATAACTATTATATTATTAATTATATTACATCATTATATTTAATTACATTGCATTACATTATATTATAAATATCGAGAATTTTTTTAACCTACGACTATGAACCATTATATATTCATTTTATTATTTTATACTTAAAATCCTAGTGTCTCTATGGACGTAAATGTCACCCTAATGTCTCGGCAAATTAAAAAATAATCAACTCCGTCATCAATATTCTGAACATTAACAACCGATAAGTAATTCGCCACTCCAAATGGAAGTAGCGTAATTCAAAATGGCTTCACCGTTAGCGCTTAGCTGAAAAAGGCCGCTTTTTAGCCCGCCAAGCTAGCCTTGTTGCTTGCAAGCTGTAATTATAGGCCAGCGCGCCCTATCGGGGAATCGTGACCTTTCGACGGGCGCTAAATCATGAGGCGCGGACGTGAATGTGCATCGATATGGACAAACTGTTGAACGCAATCACACACACCGAGTTGTGAACGGCGCGGAACTGTCGAGCCCGCGACTTGCGTGTGAAATAAACCGCTTCTATCCATAATCCTTCGCCCATTGGCATTTGCAACACCCGTAGGGTTGCAGATGCGTGCCACATCTTAATAAAGTGGGTCCCAGCTACCTCAGTCATCAGATAAGTATAACGCTTCCATTTCACGCCGTTCTTCTGTGAGCTCGTTGTTTTTACCCGGACGGACCTGCCCATTCGTGCACCGGAGAAGCAAGTTGCGTGGTCCTATCACAGTTCAAACGGTGGATCAATTCGATACACTTGGATAGAGTCGAGCGATCCAAGTTCAAATCCAGTCGCAGGCTCAATCAAAACTGTAGTTATAAGTGCTCGCTTAACACATTCTCTTTGGTGACAAAACAAATATTTCTAGGAAATGAAAAGTCTGATATTACGCACTAGAGTCGTTTGGAGACTTGTGCACTAATATCCACAGTACAGAGGCCTTTACCTAATACTCATGTATATAGACTGAAACATGCAATCATTTATTTATTTATATTATATATAGTTTTATAATAAATAAGCTGCAAATCTGTTCCTCTTAGAAAGTAAAAGAAATATGACTTGGCGTCGAGTCATATTTCGCACTTAATAATCTGTCTCTACTCCGTAATGTTTAAAAAGTAGTATGGGTTTGCAAACAAATCTACATATATATATTAAATTTTCCGCCTAGAATGAGATTTTCGAATCGGTATTCAAATATGACAATTTTTATTGCCATATTATATACTATAGTATATGTATAAAACAAAATTCCACAATTCATAACGTGGGCGTATTTATTCTAATTCTACAAGTTGTTAAACCTCTCGTGGAACTCTATAGCTATTAAATAAAAAAATGTAACTATTGTTGTTATCATCGTATGTTCTAAGATAATTATGTTTTATTAGTAATTAAGAATAATTACTCTCCTATTGCGATGTCATAACAATGAGGAAGAAAAAAGATGTTCATCAGTTAACTTCTATTCTTGCTATAATGTCAGGGTCTACTTTTAATAAATCAGATTATATTTCTGCAGATTATTCAATATTTGTTTGTTTAACTTCCCTTGGAATTAATGTCACATAGTCCTTTTATTATTCTAATTTTGAATATTGTAACAGACTTGTTAAAATTAATTATGTTGCCATTTTCAAAATTTAAATGATTACATCCTTAATCACAAGGTACAACACACTATGATATTCTACTTTGTGAATTGTCACCAACCGATCTTTTAAAACAACGACAACCTCAATCTAATACAATCGAATACAATGTTGCTAGTAACCCAAAAATATATGCTTAAGAGAAATGTCAAAGTAAAGTGGACTTCCAAATAAGGTAGCTGTCTGATTCCGCTTATCTTAATCAGATGATTTCGATTTCAGATCTGGGATCCATTTAAAGTCTTGGTTCATATCAGTCACATGGCCACAAATTATCCATCACAAACAGCCATTATGAATTATTTGAATTTGAGGCATTCAACGTACCTACAATGGCGGCCAGTTTGTAGTGACGTGTACAGGCATGGCCCCTAACCGATGCGAACACGATAGTTTGCAGTAATCTGCGCCTACGCACTATTGTTTAAAACGCGCCACGCTCATTTTGTATGCTCCGATAGCATCGGCCCAGCGCACAACATAGGCGGCGGGCCACGGCGACTCTATAAGGATAGGGAACTATTGCCCGCGCTGATTTAAGCTGCACCGGTGGCGCTTTATTGCTGAGCGAACGCTTCCTTGGTAGTATCAACGCACCTCGCTTTCGATTCTCCGTTCAATTTTTGAATTTGTTTCATTTTTTTTTTTGGTTTGTTTTCCGAAAAGGTCCGTTTTCATAGCGTTCAATTTATTTTTAAATGTTGTCATTGTTGACAATTCTTAGCATCAATTCTCTTTATCCGCTAAGCTAATATTTAGTTATATTGTGTCATAAATATGTAAACAATGAATGATAATAATAAATCTTTATTTAGAAACGACACAAATGTACACTTAAAATAGATCTTGAACATTATAATTTTAAATTAATATTAAAATAGATTTTCAATATTAACTACATTAACTCAAAAATGTGTTATAGTGATTCGTATTTACACTCTCTTCTATAAAGGAGACATATGTTCCCAAATATACATTTTATTTAGTTACTACATGCTTTTTCCTGACATTACAGCTAATTAACTACATCCCTTATTTGCGTTTGATAGTAATCAAACACTGGCCAGTTTTATGAAAAAAAAGAATGATCAATAATTGACCGGTAATCAAACCGGAGTTATTCACATTAAAGTCCAATCATATAAGTAAGTAATCTGGTTATCAAATAGTGTTCCGATGTAGCTGCTTAAATACCTCTGTATACGTCATCGCAACGCAAATGGACTCCGATGTCACGCCGAACGATTTCGAAACGAAACTTTTTACACCGCGCCGTTCACAATAATGACCGACGGTTGTCAAAAAACGATTTTAATCTTCGGGAAATTATCACATAATCGACGTTACGGTTGCGCGTTCGCCGGATGTCAAACTGAAGTGTGACAGTAGAAACTTGTTTCGTCTCGACGCCCGCGTATTGAACCTTATTCTCTAGGCCACAAAGATCACATGACGCGCTATGGTTGAGTAAGTGATGTTATGCGTTAGTGTGTTTGTTTGTAATAATAGTGACTTGTCATAGCGATATGTTTTATGGTTCTGCAAGGTTTAAGAGGTGAAAAATCTTTTTTGTGTTTAAATTCAATAAAGCAAACAGCACTCGTATGTATGGCAAAGGTATTGTGTTAGTTTTGCTTGTTTTTTTTTACCTGGGCAAACTCATTTCTTCTTCCATATTTTTATTAACAGTTCCTAGCTAAACTAAAAGGCAAGTAACTCTTCTGTTTCAATCGAAGAACAATAAATAAATATAAATATAAATTGTTTTAAAGTACTTAATTTATGATTACTTAAATATGTATGTAGAGAAAATTCAGCAGTTATGTAAACCTTTGTTATTCTAATTAATGTTATAGATGAAAATGTATAAGAGTTCAGAAGATTTATTATGAAAGATATAATGAATTACGTGAACAAAAACCTGCGGAACCGCTACGAAGGTAAACTGGTTCGCGCCTAACTTAATATATATCGAATATAGATCGAAATCTCACCATTAAATACCTGTCCGATGGTATAGTTGATAGAAAGATTTATGTTGTTTAAATAACATGTTCGAATTGAGTTTCTTTTTTGTAGCGGCTGCTAGCAGCAGACTAATATCACTACTGCTAACAGTAGTGATATTTTAACGTCATCTAGTTCTAATACGACTTTAGCTTTTATTAATCATGTCCGTTTAAAGAGCGCGAAATTTGAACCTTGTTAATAATGATGACGCCACGACCCTAAGTTTGGTGCCTTTTCTACCGACTTAAAATACGGGCTCTCAATTCGACCGTATTTGTTTTTTATGTTTGTTACCTCAGAACTTTCGACTGAGGGAATCAATTTTGATGATTTTTTTTTATTTGAAAACTGGTGCTTCCCATGTGGCTCCATATTAATTTCTTTGGTATTGGTTCTTGGGCTGCGGAGATACTTAGGGTCCTCCTGAAAATCAATTATAAAATGAATACACAGCGAGATATTTGAAGCCTGTTATGTTTTTCTTTAAAAAAAAATGGACTTGTTTTTGGAATAGTTTTCAAGCGAGGAGAGGGTTTACCTGATGTTAATAGATAGCATTACGCATAATCACCGATTTTCACACAAAGTGACGTAGATATCGAACCAATCGACGTTTGCTATA